TTACATCCGTGGCACCCTAGGTGTATGACTGGCGGGTACCAGCAGGACAGAGAGGAGTGGCCACATCCCCCTATACAGATGAGTTTGTCATTTTCTTGCCTCTTGTGAGTGTTTTTAATCTTATATTTTTAAATACAACATCCAGTTACTGCACTTAGCTGGCGCCTCCTGTTCTTCTCTTATTTGAGTGATCTTTTACATTATGACTAAACATGCAGCACTGTTTGTTCATTCATAATAATTTCAGATCGGCAGCTTAAGGGCAGGGCTCTCTGCTGGCTGTACCTCCTGCACGGGGACGCCAATAACTTGGGCTTCAAAAGTGAGCGAAACTACAACAAAAACGACATTAAGAGGTGTGCTTAAGGGACAACGGGGCTGGCAGTCAGAACAGGACCAAGTGCTATATGTACCTGGACCCTTGGGGAGTTAAATTAAAAAAAATAAATACTTCTCTAAATTCTTGCATTATCAAAGAGCCAAAGGTTTCTACAAAGGAATCTTCTAAAGAGCCGGATTAAAAAAAAAAATTGGATTTTTTTTCCATAGTAGCTTAGTATTGATGTTTTCTGAACATAAGTCTCTAGAGCCGCAAAATGTTTGCGATTATCTACTTTTAATGAAGGACAAAAAGACAGGTCTTTTCTAATAATAAAGCTTTAGTTTATGAAGGTTGGTAGCTTCCATTGACAATAGTACATGACAAGAATTACAGTAAAGTTTTGTGCGTGCGCATGTGTGTGTGTAATGCACTCTGTCCATTAGCTTTTGTTGACACAAAGTGCTGCTATTGCCTTTTTTTTTTTTTTTATTTAGAGGGTATGATGTTTACTTGAATGTATTTGTGTATTTAGGGTAGTTATGTTTATTTAAGGATCTTTGTATGTGTTTTTCTTTTGTTTGTATTTGATTATTTTTGTAAGTTCACTTTTTTTTATTTCACTTTATTTCCTTGTTTTTCTTTTTTCTTTTATATAAGTACGTATATTTTGTACTTGCCCTAGGATTACATGAGAGACACAATAGTTGATAGAAGATCAAACATAAACACTCATGTTATTTTACCACCTACAAGAGTAGGGTGCCAGGTGCATAAAAAAATCAACTAAGGCTCTGGTGATTTAAACAGGAGGTCCAGGCTCCCCCCAAAAAATGAAAAGTCAGCAGCTACAAATACTGTACCTGCTAACTTTTAATATAAGGACATTTACCTGTTCAGTGGTCCAGCGCTGTCTTCACCCCAGCTAGTTCTTCACTAGCCTCCGGGTTCCCGATGCCAGCATTGCAAGTGAGGGGAACCGCAAGTAAAGCCTTGCGACTTCACAGCCGGTTTCCTACTGAACATGTGCGAGTCGCGCTGCGCCTTGAGATTGGTCCAGCAGTTTTCCTGAACCTGTGAAGTGTTCCAGAGGACTGTGGGGGGAAGGAAGGGGGCCAAACATCCGGCTCAGTTCACCACGGCGAACTGAGCTGGAAGTGAGAGAGTGAGTACCTATCAAAACCAGGTACCCACTCTCCCCCCAAAGAGTGCCAAATGTGGCAGTGGATGGGGGGAGGAGGCAGACAAGCTGAGCTTCCCCTTTTGGGTGGTGCGCCGTTTTAAAGTGGAATGCTGGGAGAGGGCATGCGCGGGCAGCCAGAGCGGACGCTGTGACTTAAGCTCCGCACCTTCCCGGCACTTTTGGGGACACACGTTACACCCTGACCTCGTTTTGCCAGACCAACCACCCGATCAGCTGGCGGAGTAGGAGGGGACCTCTGATGCCCACCTGGCCGGCTTGACGATCAGTGAGCAGCTCCTGCACTGCCGCCTTGAAGAAAGGAAGAGGGGGCAAGATGGTGGCCGGCTCTGGATCCTGGAGCTCCTCCACTTCAGAGGAGAAACTGCCTCTGCAGCAGCGGGTTCAGCTCTCCCCATCCAGCCCTGGATCTCACAGTGACGGCTCCCAGGCTCCTGCAAGTGTTTTCTCTGCTCCTTCTGGGTCCATATCCAGCCATGCCAGGTCTCCCCCTCAAGCTGTGGCCCTGTCACCAGGCCAGGAGTCACATACGTCCTCCCTACTTGATAGGGAAATGGCAGAGATATTCAATAGTCAGCTCAGTGGCCAAGATTAAGCTCCTGATGGTACAGTTCTATCCCCTGCTCCTCCAGATGTGCCCCAGCACTACTTAGGTGATTCTGTTCTCATTGCTCGTTTTGCTGATTTGCTTTAGAGGGAATTAGAAAAAGCTACCACTAAATTAACTTTTACGGAGATTGGCAATCGCCTGGAGAATTTTGAATATAAAGTTGATGATACCATTCACAGAGTGTCGCAGAATTCTACCAGGACTGTGGACTTACAAGATTGCCTTGAGGAAGCTTATACAAAGATAGACGACCTTGAGAATCGCGCCCTCCGGTGCAATTTTAGAATTAGAGGCCTATCAGAAACGGATAAAGATATCGCTACTTTTGCCCACTCCCTCATATTGTTAGCGGTTCCAGATACTGACAAAATTCATTCACATGGAGATTGATCGCATCCATAGAGCTCTGATCCCCTAAAGCCTGATGGACCCCCTCGGGATGTGATCGTCAAACCTCACTTCTTCAGAATTAAGGAAGCGGTGATGCGCTACGCTAGAAAACATCCAGACTTGGAAATCGATGGATATAAACTTCAAGTCTTTGCTGACATTTCGCAAGCTACTATCCAAAAACAGAGGGTGTTCAAACTGCTACTTTCACCTTTGAAGGTGGAATAGATAGTTTCATCTATAGCGGATGTTTCTCTGAATCAATTTATCTACAATGGCAAATCCTACGCGTTCTCTGTTTTCTGGAGGGGAGAAAATCGTGCTGAATTTGGGGCTTTATTTCCCTTAGCCCCCCATCATGGTATCCTCCTAGGGCTGAGGGCCCTCCTCCTCCACTCTCGATTCTATGCTCTCCATCTCCCAGGAAGAAGCAATCTGCTGCTTCCCGCTCCAAGTCCCGAGGACCTTGCCAGCTACCACACATTTTTTCTAGTTGGCAGGGACCTCTCCGTGGTCCTGTCTGGGGAGATTGGTCTCCGCCTTTGTTGTTGTATTATTGGTATTTAAATTATGCCTTTAGCCTTATTGGTTTCTAACTGTTCTGTGTTGGTCCTTTTTTGTGCTAGATATTCTAGCTTTTGGCGTAAGGAAATTTTCTATAATCTTGCTCTTTTCATAGACCCCATGGTGCCGGGAAGAGTTTATGCACTCTCTCTACTCGAAAGACTCTCCCCATTGCTTTGCTTTGGTGGAGACTCTTCTGTTCCTTGACTTTTGTCTGGGATACTTGAATTTCAGTTGTTTTATGTTGCTCATTAGCTATTTAGGTGGATGCTAGCCTATTTTTGGGCTCGGCATGTTTTGTTTCTTCTCTCCTTTTTTCTTCTTTTTCCCGCCTTTTCTCACAATTTCTATGTGAGGGTCACTTCAAGCTCTTCTATTTGGATCAGAATTCCTGACATCCATATTTGTGGATATATGGGTCATGTCATCGCTGCTCTGCCTTTGTTTTCATGTCTACACTGAGACCTACTATAACTAAATATTGGCAGAGTTCTCTTATCCCTCTAGAATATGCTAAAACTAAATTGAACTGGATCATGATCAATAATAAACTTCTACACAACAATACTACTAAATTTGACAAAACATGGGACCCATGGATTCAAAAGCATCTATGTACCTTGATCCTTCCTGCGGTGACCCTCTTCTTTTGCTTCTTCTTTCTCTTATTTCTTTCTTTTCTTACTTTATTAGGTCTTTTCTCACTCCTCTGTGTAATGAGGATAGGTGAGCCCATTTGTATTGGTTCTACAACATTTGTCATGTTTTTCTTAATGCTTATTTAAGGCGCTTCAAGTGGCTACAAGTATTGAGTCTTATTTTTGTGATATATCATGGCATTTGTCTTTGACGTTATTTGTATTTTGAAAACTTTTCAATAAAAACCATTGGAGAATAAAGTGGAATGCTGAGATAACCCTAACTACTTAAAACTCTCCCCTCACCTCCTCCTAACACATTATGCTTACTAACCTGTGTAAGAAAGATTTACATACCTATTTTCATGCTGATCCCACTCCACTGTGTCAGCCACTGCTGCTGCAGGTGAAGGGAGGAGGGAACTGACAACAGACGTGTCATAAAGGTCTCTGGGTAACGTCACCACTCCAGGCTTTACCAGCTGTTGTGAAAGCTCTCCCTCCTCCCCGTCTGACATAGCGGAGATCACGTGACCATACCAGAGTGGTCTGAAAATAGGTAAGTACACAGAACTTATTGACACATGTTATTATTATTTTCAGTATCTATATAGTGCCAACATTTTGCACAGTGCTTTAAGTTAGAATAGGTGTTAGGAGGGGGGAAAAGGCGAGGTTTAAGAAAAGTTAGTAATCCAGGAATTCCACTTTAACCTTGCAACTTTCAGAGAGCATCCATTTAGTAGCATGCAGTACAAAAACAAGTAACATTGGCAACAAGATCAGCAAAACTCCAGAAGAGTAGTCACTGTGCCTCAATCTACAAATTACAGGAAGGAAATAGGCAGTCAAATGTTGACAGCAGTGTTAAAGGAGACAAAATATTCTAATGAAATAAGTAGGAAAATCTTCTCCAAGGGAGATGTCCATCACCTAAAAAAAAAAAAAAAAAAAAACTGACTATGTAGCTGTATATAACCTATGGTCTATGAATCAATTTCTGTGTCCTGTACTGAATGAGAAAGATATTCTATTTTCTGTATCGTTCATTGAGAGACATGGCCATTGATAGAATAACAACCAGACACACGTAGAACATCCACAAGCAGTTCTAAAATTGGGGGCAAACACCAATAATGCAAAGTACACAACCTGGAGAGCTCAACCTCAACAAAATTAATTTAACTACTGCCTGCAGGACCTTACAGCCAAAGTCTGCCACCTCCATTGACTTACACACATGCATGTTTTTATAAAAAGTATAATTCATAGCTTACCTGCAGAGATATTGAACTGTGGACTCAGTGCCAAAAATGTATTAGTATTCACAATTTCTTCATGACTGCATGACAAAGAATGTTTGGAAACATTCTAAAGAGGAGACATAATAAAATAAATTAGGCTTCAGTTATAAAGTGCCTGTAAGAAAAGTGATAGGGTTTCTATTAACCATATCAGATGATTTTTAAAAAGAGACACTGTTACCAACTTAAATTGCAGTTATAACCTAACATTCAGTATTTAAATGCTTACTTAGTGTTTTATTTTACATAAAATATTTTTAATTCCTTGCAATGTGTCTCTGAACTTGCCGGCAAATTTGAAAACTTCAGTACAGTCAATTCTCTAGCACATTGCCCTCACTTCTTGCTCATCATGGTGCTTTCCTGTTCTGGGAGTATCTAATTAGTCTGTGCTGGTAGCTATTCTGCGCCTTCTTTCACCTCCCTACTGTAGCCTGAGTCCTCAGCACTCTCACCTGCCATTGCAAAGGACCTGGCTTGTCAGTGAGACTGCAGCTGCTGGCACAGCAGAATCTCTCCCTCTCCTCAACCGCCAGTGTACAGTCAGGGGTGACCATAGAAGGGGAGGAAGGGAGAGCAAGAGAGTCACAGGATATTTTGTTCAGGCTGTGTTTGCAGATACATGGAGCTGGAGAAGAGTCTGTCCACTGCCCCAGGTTGCAGAGGGCACTGTGATTGGCTGTTGTGCAGCCTGAAGGAAAAGAAGACAACTGGGAACCACCTAGGTCTATGGGAAATGTTGACCCAAGGAGAACCACAAGGGAGAATCCTCACACAATGGTCTTGACCAGAGAGTGGGAAGCCAACAGTCTCTGAAAAAGAATGCCAAAAGCAGAGATATGACACTTGATGGTACTAAGGACAAAACTGCAGGAAACAGAGGGTCAATCTTACAGAGAAACTCCTGGGGTTAAAGCCTCTAATCGCACACCAAGCAAAGTATGCCTTCCACGCCTGATTATAAACCTTGTGGTAAGTGGACCTGAGCATTTTAAGACTTTTTGTTAAAGCCTGGCACCTCAGAGCCTAGGCTTCAGCAGTCATGCTGTTAAAGCCAGGGATCATGAAGCAGGGTTGGAAATCAGTCCATGGGACAGAAGATCTGGCTAGCAGAGCCCATGTTGTGTCTGCAAGAGGTCCTACCAGGTCAGCATGGGGCACTCTCCTGGGCCAATTCAGGGCAATATTAACTATTAAAATGCCTTCCATCTCAAACCTGTGAACCTGCCCTTTGTTGTTGAATTTGGAGCCCAGAAGGTCCACATCCGGTGTCTCACACTTGAAAAATGTTTCTGCCATTTATCATTGCCAAGGATGTACACAGCTGAGAGAGCTGGAGAACGTTGTTCTGTCCAAGACAGGATTTGCTCAACCTCTTTTGCCACAGTAAGTCTTCTTGTTGCTACAAGATGGTTGATGTAACCCCCCACCGTATCTTTATCTTAACCCGGAACAGAAGAGTTGAGATGGGTCCAAGGCTGGAGAGACAGTCAAGCTCCAGGATGTTTATCAGGGGATGCAACTTCACAGATGACCAAGTCCCCTGCACCAACAAAGTGCCTAAGCACACAAAGGAGGCCAGCCAGGTGCAAAGGAGACATCAGAAGATTGGAGGTGAAAAAGCAAAGAGAAGGCAGGGAAAAAAACTCAAACTTTAACTATTGAATATCACCTCTTGCACCCAAGCATCGTTTAGAAGTAAACAGAACATCCGTTGTGTCCACCAGTGGATTTCTGCTCTGGCTATTAACTTGTTCACCTGCTAATTCTGCTGGGACACCATCAGACCCACATCCAGTGTTCCTCACGGTTTACAGGCAATGTTGGAGCCCAAGAAAAGATGACACAGAGTAGGCATTTCACAAGTTTATCAGGTCCCCCATATAAAACGGAGTCATTGCAGACCTGTCAGTTTACATGCAGGACTTCTGTACATGAAGGAAGGAGTATGGGAAGGATACTTCCTTGTCCATGATTCCAGGAGAGAGAAGCTGTGTTAGAGCAGTGTTAAGGTCCATTAAACTATGGTGACAGAGATTCAAATGCCTTAAATCTCAATAGGTGCTCAGGTTGGCAACATAAAATTCCAGGCTAGGAAATGTCTATAGACTAAACCTTCCCACATATAAACTCATTCAAAAAAATAGGGTACACTTCCACATTGGCCTCAGCTGAACAGAAGCTGTAGGAATAAAATGAAATTGACTCAGCAGAGAGTGAGGCAGTTTGATTGCAACCCACACAATCATGGCCAACATGACAAGATGCTACACAAGCAGGTACAGTACATCACAGATCAGCCATAACATTATGACCACCTACTATAATCCTCAAGGCTCCACTAGACCTCTGAAGGTATGGTTTCCTTCTTTTGAGGCTATATTAGGAATGAGAATATACATTCAGAACCTAACAATGCTGCTGTACAGTGCATTCGGCAAGACCTGCCCATTTCCTGGTGTGCACTCAAAAAGGGACCCTCAAAAAATTGTACAAAGACTGTAAAAATTAAAAGTAAAAAAAAAACATGGCCCAGATAGAGTAAATAAAAAAAAAGAGGTTGGAGAAAAAAAAACGCTACAGCATTTTTTTTGGTCCCTATAGAGACATAGTAGACACCTCTATGTAAAGCCTACTCAACTCTCTAGTAATTGATAGGTGACAGCTGTGATATCAGAGGACACTCAGCCAGATGTGAATGTTGTGGTAAATAACCAAATCTGAAAATGCAGTTGGACACAGGTAGAGCAGAGGGGTCTCACCCTGCATAACTTAACCCAAGGTATGAACACTAATTCTGGTAATAACTGCTGCATGACTTTTCGACCCTTAGGGGTTTATTTACTGGAGCTGGAGAGTGCAAATCGGGCTCACTTCTGGATTGAAACCAAACCGCTTCCAAGTTTTATTGCCAAAGCTTAATTGAACAAGCTAAGATTAGAAGCTGATTGGTTTCCATGCAGAAGTGAGTAAGATTTTGCACTCTCCAGCTTTAGTAAATAAACCCCCTAGTGTCCAGTAAGTTACAAGGGAGCAGAATGACTGTTGTGGTAAATTGTTTAAGCTGGGGTCCGGTATTACGCAAACAACGATAGCTACTAGAGTCAATATCCAGGATTTGCAGGTTCAGTATAACACTGCCAGCAGCTGCTGATCAAAGGATTTTTATCTTGAGAGTTGTGATCAAGTGGAACTGCTCAGGACAAGGTAAACTGAACATATTCTGTACATTAAGTGAAATAGGCAATATAAGAAGATTTTTGTACTCCCTTTAACCAATTGCCCTCCTGAGGATTTACACCCCTTCCTGACCAGGCCATTTTTTGCATTACGGCATTGCGTTACTTTAACTGACTGTCCTGCCATGCTACACCCATTGCCTGTGCGGTTTCTACTTTTTGCGCTATTAAAAAAAAAAAAAAAAAAAAAAACCTGACAATTTTGAGAAAAACAATATTTTTTACTTTTTGCTATTAAACATGTCCAGTAAAAAAAATCCCAATACGTGTAAATTAATTGTTTTTCGTGAAAGTTATAGCGTTTACAAATGGCGGTATAGATACTGGAATTTTGTTTTTGTTTTTTGTTTTGTAGCGGTAATCAGAGACTTATAGCGGGACTGCGGGGGGGGGACATTCAGACACTGGGGGGAACTGACTTGGTGTCACTGACATCCCCAGTGACACCAATACAGTGATCAGTGCTAAAAAAAAAAAAAAAAAACCCACTGTACTAATGGCACTGGGCAGGAAGGGGTTAACATGAGGGCCATTTAAAGGGTTAACTGTGTAAGGAGTGTTTTACTAGGGGGGGGGGGGGGGGGGTCTGTGTGCTTTACTGTAAGCATACTGCTTTGGCTGTGCTGTGCGCACAGCCATCCAAAGCAGTGTGCTGACAGGGAGGATAACTGTTAGTGAACAAAACAGTCCTCCTCCCTGTTGGAGATCCTCAGTAATCACCGGGTGCCAGCAAGTAAAGCAAGCCAGGACCTGGTGATTGACAACTCGCGCACGCCCCCTACCCGGAAATGCAAAATCATGTATGTATGTGTATATATATATATATATATATATATATATATATATACAGTATATAAATAAAATATGTGAAAACATCTTTACAGAACACAACAATGGAAAATGTGTACCAAAGTGCCTCAACATAAAAAAATACATATGTTGCAGCGCACTGCATTCTGATGAAAATGCCTTTAGTTGAGAGACCAAACAAAATGTTTATTTTCTCATATTATAGAATCCATCATGTTTCAGAGATTTTCAAATGACTCATTCATTATGGCTATGGGGCTTGACAGAAGAGGAGGAACAGAAGGACTCTTGGTGGTTGAAAAATAACTATATGTAACTAATATTTCATAGAAACAATGTGCTCCATCTAGACTTAAAGTGGAGCTAAACCTTCCTTATCTTTTACACTCAAGCTGCCATTTTAGCCTGTTTGATCGGCAGTGTCTGTGGTACTGCATAAGTAGACAGTTATGACACCAGCCATTTGATTGCTTGATAGTTTGGTTGAAAGCACAAGCAGCTGTGACAGAGATCATTCACAGCATGCCTTGAGTGCAACCGTTTTGGGAAACTGTTAAATTGATGGATTTAGAATGTTTTAATTACGTCTATCCAACTAGTAGTTAACCTTTTGGGTCATGCTTTGCTTATCCTTCACTTGTGGAGGTAGCAGGCATTACTAAACCCAAGCATATTGATTTGGGCTGATATACTGTTCATTTCCAGCCCGCTCTAGTGGAAGAGTTAGTGCAGTAACTTGTAGGACAAGCTCACACTAGAAAGCACATGCTCCCGCATGATCCAGTTTTGTCAGCTCATTTATTGGAATGGGCTGTAAACCACACTGAATGGTACTGCATTTGGGGGTACCATTAACAACGCATTGGCACCTGCATGTGTCTCACAATGGCAGCACATTCACCTGTAATGTAGAATACACAGAATGCGCCTTTCCTGCACTACAATATGGTGTGAATGAGCCCTTATTATATATTGCGACCTTTCTCACACTGACAGCCTAGCCTTGCAGATTACATAA